AAGAGTAAGAAGAAAGGCATAGGGCCAAAGGTAAAGAAAGCAAGAAGCAGTATGACTGGGGAGAAGGGTTCTTATTATAATTTTTCTTCTACCCTGTGGTTGCCATTATATTCCCTAAATCTTGAATTTCTGACTTTTCTTTTGCACGGTTGAGTACTCATGTTTTAAAACAAAAGGGCAAAGGATTGTTTAGAGGAAAGTAATAAAAGAAGGTCACAAGGTTGTTTCTAGTCTTAGATCATATTTACATGGCACTTCATCTTGTGCTCAACAACTTTTCTGTCCTAAAGAAATTGCAGGAGGTTTTGCAGTGTTTAATTCTGAAGCTCTGGCTTTTGCCACTTGGTCAGTCTTCTGACATTATTTTTGACTAACTTTTCATGCATGAATGTCCATGTGTATTTTCATTTTAATGCCAGATGAATGAAGAACTGCCTAGTGTTTCTGACCTATGTCAAAATACTTAGCTAACCAACCAGCTGATAAAATAAAAATTATTTCTTCTGTAGGAGAAACTTGATGTGAATAACTTGAAACAAATGGAACCTTAAAGCTGCCAGTTCTTCAGGCAGAATCATAGTGGCAAAAATAACACTTTCATGTCTGCCATGTTGTAGCTGAAACAGGTGGTTTGGTAGACTTACACTTGAAATCAACCAATTAAGTTTATTACCAGGACACAATTTCTTCTGAGTATATGTGATAGAATACTTAAGTGGTAGGTTTCTGTGTTAAGAACACATTTTCAGAGGCAGTGGTCTATTAAACTGTTAAGCACAGCACATTATTTTGTAGTAATTTCATGGGTTTTTTGCTGCTTGTACCATACATTTCTTGACTTTCTGTACTCAACACAATTGTATGTTGAAAGTGGATCTTTCCATATCAAACTTTAATAGGAGTAACAAAATATTTTTGAGTTCTGTACCCACTGTTTTAGTGGGTAGAGATCTGCCAGGTTTTATTAGTCTTCATAATATTGTTTTGTACTACCAGTAGATGACAAGCTTTTAGAAACACTGCTATCAATTGTCTCTGCTCATTAAATGCTTTAAGGAAAAAATAATAATCTGCATAAATATGAAGTCTTACTTTTGGTGAATCGTGACTGAAATACAGAGAATCTGTGCTGCTCTGCTGGTCTGCAGCAAGGGCAATGTTTACAGTTTAGCTACTGCTCCCTTCTTAGAGTTAATAGAACAATAGCTGCCCTTGGGGTATCATCTGTTGCTAAAGCTTTAGTGCTTTTAAAATGGATATATCCATCAGTTAATCATTACCAGGAGATAGAAACAAACTATACTTCTGCAAAAGTAGCTTAGTTTACTTTAGCACCCAATTTGTAAAGTAAGTTGCTTCAGAATGGAGATTGCAGATGAGGCTGTATTGTTTGTATTCAGCTGTAACTAGAGACTTTCTCCCCCTTATTACCCGCTAAGGTTTTGATCTAATTAGCCTCAGTGAAGTAACTGAAGTCTTTATTGCTTGTTAATAACATGGAAAATTTCATTCATCCAAGTAGTTCTTCTTGCTGTACCCTTTTCCAGCTCATGAGTACAACTACTTGCTTGTTTGGTGTGTCTATTATTGCATGAAACCTACCCTTAAATCTTAACACTGCTGAACGGGAACTCTGGAAACAAGTAGACTAATGAGAAAATGGATTTGAGTCACACACAAGAGAATGTCTGTAGGAGTGAACCAGCAGGTTGATGAAAGAGTTAATGATGCTGGAATGTCCCACTGCTCCCAGCTATTAAGAAAATCTGTAGTTCATTATTTCCTCACGCTTCATTTTTCCATTTCAAAAAAACCAGATGTCTGAGTGTTTCTACCCCTGCAGACCCCAGACACTGTTTACTAAACAGAAACAAGTCTAGATTCTTGGAACTGGGAACTGTTAAGAGCTATTCTCTGGTCCTCTGTATACAACTGGTTTCACATGAGAAACACACTTATCAGGGAAAAACTGTAAGTGAAGAATTACAAAGGAAAATGAAGGGACAAAGAGAAGTGTTATTTTGGTGTGGGTTTTTTCATCTTCTTTTGGATTTTTTCTCCCATCATCTGAGAACAGAAATTAAAAATGTCAGTTTAAGTCCTTGAGACATTTGGGGAATAAAATGATCCACATAGGAAATGAAAAAGTACTCTGACTACATACCGGTTCTGGACACAGTATTAAATCACTTCTGGTTTTGGCTTGTGAATGAAAATCTGAGTAGTTAAATCAGACCTTAACATTTTGAATGCTGTAGGTGAACTAATTGAATTTAGTTCAGTGTATCAGACTGTAATTCCCCCTGCAAAATGCAACAGAGGTCCATACATCTGTTACTCATCCTTTTTCTCAACCTTTGTCTTTTTTTTGGAAAAGTCCATAAACCACTTTCAGCAGTTCTGATGCAAGAGCATCACTCTAAGACCAAAAAATACTTTCAATATTTGTAGATGGCTTTAGTTGGTTTTTTTCTCCATTCTGTTTGTTTCTTCATTTACCTGGGAAATGTGTGCATGTATGTTTTTCATCTCATATTTCCATATTCATTCTACTTCATTTCTTTGTTTTAAAGTTCCATTATGATCACTTGGCTTTCAAATGTGGGCTCACTATGAAACCACATTTAAGCTGCTGTAGTGAAGGAAATTTACTAGCTATAAGTTTTGTGTCTAGAAGCTGGCTTACAAAGTAGCCCTTGTACTACTTAAATATGTGCAATTTCTCCTTACATGTTTTGTGCTGTTAGCTCATCAAGGCAGGAATGTGCTTTATTTACTGTCAGTCTCATCTTTCAAACTCTGTCATAGCTAGTCTCGTTTCAGACAGTTAATTCATGCCATTTAAAACTTGCAAAATCAGACCATCTTCTCTTAAGCACACTGAGTAAAATGTATGACTGTATAAGCAGTATGAACAGACTAACTATCCCAAACCACTGACATCTATATTCAACATTATTTTGCTTTCATTGCTGTATAGGCTACAACACTGGACTGGGTTTTAGCTTATGTTTATTTAGGTGCCTCTAAACTGCAAGCATAGTAATTCTGGTGATGATTGAGAAATAAGGAGCGAAAAAAATTACAGAATGGGTTCTGAGTGCCTAGTTTGGACTGTCCTAACTAGTTCAGTTACTTGTTTGGTTTATAAATTTCCATATTGGTTAAATTCATGTTAGTTGCTAATTGTATAAACAGGCCATTTGTGAGATTGGTCTTGATCATTGCAATATAAGTACTCTTGAAAAACTTCATCAGAATTCCTGTATATAATCTGCAGATTTAAATGTGAAAATTGTCTTGAAATTAGAAAAGACATGGTTATTTCAAGATACCAATAGCACTAATATATTTTATGTATAGCAGCTGGGTCCTGTCTGGGAGCATATGCACACTCCTTTCTGTAATTCATATTTGCTAATTCATTTCTACACCGTTGATTTAAAAAATTGTCAACTCTTGGGATACAATCTAATTTTGTGAGTTTCAGATAGAAGAAAAAACAACCAGTTTCTGCCTTTGTATTTATACCCCATTTAGGAAGAGCTAATAGTATTTCTTAAAGATTTTAGGAACGTGGTTAAGATTTTTATTTTTTTTCTGCACTGAACAAAAGCATGGTGGGTCAATTTTCCAATACTCTGCTTATAATTAGAGTTTAAAATAAATAAAAAAATATGGTAAAATGATCTGGTTACTGGAATCAACATTTCTTTTACCTGCATACGGCATAGTACACTGAATCCGTGAAAACAAAATTTGAGACAGATAATGGAGGCTTTCCTACAGGGTCTGGTTTTGTAGGTTAATTCAAGGCTCTTCACCACCCACATTAAAGCTGATGCCAAATATTTCAGTTGTTTAGAGTGAGCTGTTCTCCAGTCATTTATACTTCTCTAATTGTGTCCAGGTGCATGAAACTTGTCCAAAGCATTTGCCTTGCATAACTAGTTTAAATAATAATAATAAATTGCCATTCTTTTTGATTTTTGTGCAATTTACACCATGACAGTCTGTAGACACATGGGATTAGCTTTTTGCTCAGCTGGGCTGGGTCTAGCCTGAGATGCACATAACTAGTGCTGTCCACCAGGCACTGTAAAAACAAGGAAGGAATAAGTGGAAGTGTAATGTTAAAGGCTCTTCAGCAGACAGTTTGTGCTAAGTATTTCTAACTGTCTGTAGAAAGCATTCACAGGAAAAAGATATGTGCCAGAATTAGAGCTGTTTCTCTTAATGCACAGAACCTTGCAGGGGTCTCAAGTTTAAGATAAAACTAGGCCAGATTTCTTTGTCTAAAAGAATACAATAAAAATAGTATGTTTTTGTATACTATATACTATTATTCCTATTCCAGGAAATATACTATTTTTATTAT